AGGCTCCAACTCCGACAGTCCCCCCGGCCGCCCGGCTCCCGCGCCCAGCCCCGAGCGCCGACGACCGAGCCCCCGCCGCCTACCGCGGCCTCTCTTGGCGCGCTTTGCGCGAGCGGCTGGCGGAGGCCATGGTCACGGCGGCGAGGCTGGCTCGGCGGGCAAGAGCTCGGGCCGGCACCGGGCGCAGGGGAGCGAGCGGCCCGAGCTGGGCCGGAGCATGAGTCTGGCTCTGGGCGCTGTGACCGAGGAGGAGGCGGCTCGACTGCGGGCGGGAGCCCTGATGGCCCGACCACACTCTCCCCAGTCTTCGGCGGCCGGGCGATGGCGTTCGCATGAGGTGCTGGAGGGAGCGCCTCCGACCTTAGCACAAGCCCCCATCGGCCTTAGCCCCCACCCCGAGGGCGGCCCCGGCTCCGGCCGCTTGGGTTTGCGCCGACGCTCCACAGCTCCAGACATCCCCAGCTTGGTCGGGGAGGCACCAGGGCCCGAGAGCCGCCCGGAGATTGAGGCCAACGCTGTGCCGCACTCCATGCCTGGGTCCCAGCCTTGGCAGGCAGGCACCGAGGCCGTGATGTTGCACGCTCAGCGGTAAACAGCGACGAGGACGAGCCCTGCATCTGCCTGTCTCTGCTCCATTGGGATTTCCTTTCTCCCAGGTCCTCACTTCCTGGCAGTTTCCCCACTGCCAAGATGAGCGGCCTTCTCTCTGAAAGGGACCCCTATTATTTCTTTTTGTGTGTGTGCTTGTTGGTATTTTTGGTATTCCCTGCCCAAGTCTCACCTTCCCTACAGGGGAGGAGTAGAAGACTGTTCCTTGGGCTATAGCCTTCCAGGAAGATGCCCCACCCCCCTTGACCTAAGGCTCAGTCCTGAGTCTGGCTCCTGCCTGGTCTTTCCATCGCCAGGTTTCCCCATACCCAGGCAGCCAGGCACGAAGAGTGGACCTATACAAGGATCTAGCCACCCCCCCACCCCTCACCCCCACCCAGTGATGCTGACAGTAATGCCACCCATGACCTCAGTTTCCCATCCCTTTAAGTGCTGGAGACTGGGGGCACCCAGATGGACCTCAGAGACTTTCTGGACTAGGGATGATTAGGAAAGAATCTAGAGATTAATTTTTTCTGGGGAGAAACTCCTGCCTCAAGACAATGAAAGCCTATTTTGGAAGTGGCAGAGCCCCAGTGTTGAATGCTTGCCTCTTGAACCAGCTTCTGGGTAATTCCAGTTCCCTCGACCTCTTCTCCAGGCCCCCCCAGAATTCAACTTCATTGACAATGTGTGGTCATTGCCACAGCCTACCCAGCCCATCCGGGCTCAGCTACATTTGAGTTCCATCTTTGAGGTCTCACCGTCATGGCCCAGCCTTATTCCCTCTCACTCGCAGAGGCCTGAACTGGCAAGGACTCCAGCACTTCCCGCCCCCACCGCCTCCCAGCCTCACCATCCCACACGTGGGTGCTCCTGCAGGGTGCAACGGTTAGGAAGGTTTTGCTTAATTGTATTTCTTCCAGTCCTCAAAGAGCTCGTGTATTGAGTCTTTGTATATGAAGCAGAAAGCAGCAGGTTTGATCCGAGGCTTAAGAACCTGACAATGTCTCTTTAAATAGAAGCTCGGCGAGGGGGATAATTGACTGAAGTGTTTGCCACGTTAAACGGTGGCGCGCGGGAGTCGGAAGCCCACACGAGCCGCAGGCCCGGGTTTAAATTACATCAAACTCCGGCGAGAGCTGGGAGGGGGCTGTTAAACGACTCCTGCCTCTCGCTGGGCTGTTAATGGAAGGCTGGGCGGATGATGGATGCTAAGGTCGAGACCAAGGACCCCTGCCTCTGCCCCAGCGCGTGGGACGCAGGCCCGGCCCCGCTTTATTACTGGGCAGATTAGTGAGTCAGAGGCGACCGCAGAGAGGTGGTTAAAGGCCCTTTCACGGCTTGGCCCTCGGTCCCTCCTTCCCCTCCCTAGTGAGGGGGAGACTAAGCGGACCTGGCGAATCGCCTGCCCTAGGACCCTGCGGAAGCGCTGGCACGTGTATCTGTGCTAGGTGGCGGCAGGTGGGGCTCTTTTGTGAACCCCGAAGGTTGAGCGTGCACCCCTTTATTCACCTGTAGAGGAGTCTTTTCAAGACGTCGATCTATTCACTTTTCGCTTTTGCAGAATGGAAGGTTTCTCACCAGTAACTCTAAAGGAACTATTCAGAGAGAGAATGACCTGTGCCAAGAAACTGGATCCGGGGGTGAGGGGTGGGTGATCAGGGGCGGGTGTTGTGGAGGTAGATAGCCTGCATCTCCCCAATCCTCCCACCTTTTCAGGCCGGTGAGGCCGCTAGGGCCCCTACACTGGATGTGATCTCTGGTGCCCCCTGGTGGCAGCACTGCGCTCTCCTCGCTGCGCCCTGGCTCGGAGTTGGGGACTTCTGGTTTTATTTGGGATCACTGCTGTGTACTTCTCCCTCCGTGTGCTTACTCATGGAATCCTCAAACTCTTGTAGTGTATTAAATCCTGATACTTGAAGTCATTTCACAGCAATGAAAAAAATTGCATTTGGGGTAGCAGGAGCCCAGATCCTTCACTAAAGACCCCAAGATCTTCCAAGTTAAGGCTGTGTCTTGAGAGGCCCTGCTGTCTTCTGAAAAACTGAAGCTCCCAACCCCTCCCTTATGATTTCTGAGCCTTGGGACCTATGATTATGCACTGTTTTCTTCTGATGAGCTTCAGTCTTGTATTGGGGGTGTTTTGCCCTCCCCCAACTCCTTTCTCCACAAACATCTGCCTCCCTTTAGTCCCACTGTCTGAGTAGTGGGTAAACAATACAGAAGCTCCTAAAAATCCGGGGGTTGGGGAGGACTGGGGTGGGACCGGGTTAATTGGGCACCTCAAGTGCAAACTCCCCTTTTTCTGATCCTTGCTTGCTCATTTATCCCCTTTCCAACTGTGTTTAATTTTCATGAAGTTTCTAATGGTGTAAAAATACAAGTATTTTGGCTTCTTCAAAACACCATGAGGTCTGGGTTGCACGTTGTGTTGAAGGTATTGTATCTTTCAAGTGTCACTGACAGGGGCTTTCTGGCTGAAAGTCAGCTTGGGCCCACTTTATTGGGTAAACAACCACAAGGGCTGCTCTGTGCGGAGCTGCCAAGGGCTGGGTGGTTGAAAGTGATGTTTCTACAAAACCACAGCCAATCTTTCCTCTCTGAACTGAATTGTGTGTCTGACTGAGTTGCTGTTCTTGCAGATTTCTTACCAGGCCCAGCTCTGTGCAGAACTTAAACGTTTCACCACATTCACTCTCCTGAACTTCCTCTCATTGTCAGCCCCAAGGGTGTCGGGGCTGGGGTCCTCTCTCAGTCTCTCCACTTTAGAAAAGACCTTCTCAACATTTTGCTTTTTCAACTCTTGTTGCTTTGTCGTTGTGAAGAGTTACCCATGCCACTGGAGTCCGGTACTCTAGGGTCAGACTCAGAACTGGTCTGTGTGAGGCAGAAGGACGTGCACATACGCTCTTGGAACGACACTGTGTGGTGGAAAGACTGTTAGAACTCAGAAGAAGAGTTAATAAATCCAGTATTATTCAGTTGCAAGAACTGGCCTCTCTTTGCCGTACCAGCCACTCCTGACTGTGGGCTCCCTTTGGAGAGGTGGAAGGGTACACATGCCTCCATCTCTGCCCATCCCACGGTGGCTCCCTCCAGAAGGTAAGACTCGGGTGCTGCTTCTGACCGAGCTGGTGGGACTGGGGCCCTCGGACTAGGGCAGCTATTCAGGCATGAATGCTGTGGAGAGCGGGAGATGATCTGCATGGCTCCTTGCTCCTGGTTAAGAGGTCTCAGTGAGCCCTGGGGTAGGGGGAGGACGAGCTCTCAGGAAGTAAGTACTGGAATCAGGGTCAGAGCCAGAAGTTTCGAGATAATTTTATCCACCCACCCCACTCCCCGGACTAGAACCCAGGTTTCTTGATTTCCAGCCACTGCACTGCTCTTTCAGTACTCCTCAGTCTCGCTCAGTTCTGAGAACCAAAGCAGTTCCAGGCTCCTTCCTAGGGACAGCTTGAGGAGAGTGGCCTTTGACTTTTCAGGGAGTGAGAAGCAAACAGGGTAAGGGAGAAGCTGCTGCAGAAGGTGGTCATTAGCCCTGGTGGCTGCCCCCAGGGCCCATGAGTGCCAGTAAGCAAGACGCCGGCCCTGGCTTTCCTGGCTGGGCTCTTCCCCCCTGGAAAGGAGCCTATTTCTCAGCTCTTTCAGCCCCACGGTTACTTCACTCCTGGTTTCCGTCATTCTCTGCCCATAACCGCCAGGGAGTTGGGTTTTCTGTGGACTCAGTGGCCACTGGAAAGCTCGCGTTGGGGAGCAGGGGGTCCCACTAGACACCCACTACAGAGTGTCCAGCTCAAAGACAGCTTGGCTGCACTCCCAGAGACCATAGGAACCCCAGAGATTTTAACACTCAGTTTAATTTAAAACAGGCACAAGTGCAAACAATTCACAAAAGTTTCTAGGGAAGATGCTTTTGTTTTTAAAACTCTGACTCTTAAAAAAAGTCCTTGCAATTTTTAAAATTTTTTTTTTGCCCCGAAGCAGGCCACTAGGGAGCAGAGGAATCTAAAAATATGATCTGGATAGGGTCCGGACACCTGGAGTTCTTCCCTGGGCTTCCCTGTCTCACAACAGCCCTGAAGGTAGGGAGGGAAGGAGGACAAGGACACAGGTGCCTGAGGAGCAGATGACTTGCACAAATGGGGTACCCATTCCCTTGACATGATAGAACCCTAGGAGCTGGTTCACCTCCCCCAGACCAGGATTTTGAAAAGAAAGAGTCCCTGATGTCCTGGTTATTGAGATGAAGCTCATGGGTAAAACAAAGTTTGTTTCCTCGTCCTTGGATTCTTTCTTTTTTTTTTTTTGTATGTGCCCCTAGCGGGAACCGAACCCAGGACTCTCTGGTCCACAGGCCCACGCTCCAACCGCTGAGCCAAATCGGCCAGGGCTGTCCTTGGATTCTTGGGCTCTCATACTCCATAGTACAGGAGAAACTTGGAAACCTGCCTGGCCCGTGGGATTCATTCGCCTCCGTTCAGACCTCTTCACTGGTCAGGCAGAGACACGGGACTTAAGGGGTGGGAAGCCAGACCAAGAAAGCAGGTCCCTCAGAGCAGAGCTCAGTGGGAAAGAGGATGAGGAAGCCTTACTAAAGGGGCCAGGCTGACGGGGTGACCTTTCTCCACCTACACACTCACACACGCACACGCACACGCACATGCATCCTGTAAAGTGGCACCACCTTTACTACCAATCCCGTTATTTCTCTTTCACCCAGAAAATGCCCCAGCCTCTCCCATGGCCTACAAGTGGGCTGTTCACCGTTCGGGGCAGGCTGTGCATGAGCGCTGTGTGCCGGCAGGGCAGCTGCAGGTGGGCTGTGCCTTCAGGAAGTTGGACACAAGGGAAGAAAATGGATTCAGGTCATAAAAGCCTTCCCTGTGGCCCTCTTGAGACAGCAGGGTTTGGAATTGGAGCTGGGAACAGCAAGTATCCTGGAGAGGACAGGCACTCTGCCCCCGGGCGGCCTGGGATGCTAGTGTACGACTGCCTTTAAAAACCGGCAGCAGCCTTTTCTGCTGTGTTGGCTGTAAGGGCCAGAAATGCTGGTCTCTGTGTTTCTTAGAAATATCCCTGTGCAAATAACAAAGGGTCATCCTGTAAAAGGGGTCTCTATCATCCCAAAGACAATTGGGGACTCTCTTGGGGGGAGAAAGACAAAGGGGCAGGTCCGGCCTGGCCCAGTGGGCTGGGGGGCAGGAGGGTGTGGGTGGGGCTTCACATTCAATCTTTGGAGAGAATACTGAGAGAATGAGGCAGGCAGGCCCTGCCAGCAAGCCGGTTGCCCAGTGTCCCCTGCCTCTGGGCACAGGTGGCAGGTGCACTCGGGGTGGGCTCAGCAGGTGGAGGTCTGCTTGTGATAGAGCTGGATTAGGGGCACCAGGCACTCAGGGAGCCCTGTCTGCAGCAGGAAGGGATGGTCCAGGAGCTCCCGGGCCGTGGCTCTCTCCTGGGGGTCCCGAACCAGCATCCGTTCCAGGAAGTCTCGCAGCACTGGGGAAACCTGTGGAGACAGGGCAGTGAGAGGAAGCTACAATTTGCAGTCATTTTGGGGTGACCCCTATACCTGACCCCACCAGAGGGGTCTTAAATTCCTAAATTCTCTCTTTTCTTACTTCCTGCTTCCTCCCAGGTTTAGCACTTCTGGGATTATTGGGTAGGTAAAGAAAGTCAGCATCAGTCCAAGAAAAGTGGCCAATTCATCTCCAGGGGGTGGAATTAGGGTCCCCAGAGTGCTGGGGGAGACCATTCCACACCCTGTTCCTCTGGGCTCTCTCAGCATTCAGATTCTATGGAAAGGGGCATGGGACTGGTATCAGTGATGCAGTCCTGGGTTTATCCCTGAACTCCAGCAAGTTGCAATTTTCTCTAGACCTCAGTTTTCTCATCTGCAAAATGGGCTAATGTGCTTGCTCTGCTTGCCACATAGGGCTTTAGTGAGGATAAAAAAGAAATCAGGGATGAAGAAATGTTTTTGAAAAATAGAAAAGAACAAAGTGGGTCCTGAAAAGAAAGATTTCTTTGTTGCTCTAAGCTTTCGAGTCTAAGTCAAGGGCTTATCTTGATCTTGGCTCATTTTGAACCAATATCTTGGGGTGAGGTAAGTCTTGGGTTGTTACAGAAGTTTCCCTCCTCTGGGGAATTAGTCAACTGGAAGTCTGCTAATCTTGGGGTCAGCTATCTGCTAATCTTGGGGTCAGCAGTGGTCTCCAAGGACCAGCTGTCTCAGAGGTATTTCCAGCCTGTCCTCCCACCCAGCTGTGTTGCCATTTAGGGACTGGGCGGCAGCCCTCTGGAGCATTTCTCACTCTGACCACCAGATGGCGATGCCATTTTGCAGCCCTGTGTTGACCTGGCCACCAGCCGGGTAGCCACAAGTAAAGCCTGCTGGTTTGGATGGATTTGGTAGAAAAGGTTACACATGCGTGTGCGTGCGCGCACACACACACACACACGTTTTAAGGGGAAAACTGTGGCTCAAGTGTGGTCAGGATGTGCCGTGATGGAAGACAAGCCGATTCACTGCGATAGACGGGAACACTGTGCCATGGTATGGCTCCCCTGACAGATGGGGTTGAGGGGTTCCTGCCCAGCTTCTCTAGATTCCTGTCCAGAACATCTGGGGTTCCTGGCAGCTTTGCCTTCCCTCCCCTCGGGCTCCCGTGAATTGCTTACAGGTGGAAACTCCCCAGAGTGACCGTGGAGTCTGTGTACAGGTGTGGCTCCAGGCCTGGGTGCAGGTTTCGTGTGGAGAAAGCGGTGCCTTTTCCAGGAGTCCAGACCCTCAGGCTGGGCTCTGGTCCTCTACGCCTCAGGAAGAGGTCTGTGGGGTCACACCTTATGCACCAACTGACCTTGTGAGAATTTTTCAGCTTGGGTGGGGAGCTGTCCCGGAGCCTCTTCATGGCTTGCACTGGGGAGTCACTGAAGTAGGGGGGCTCCCCGTCCACCATCTCAATCACCATGATGCCCAGAGACCAGATATCCACCTGTAGGAGGAGAATGTCTCTGACTCACTGGCCAGAGTCTGGCCCCTCGGTAGCAGCGTGCTGCAGGGGGAGGGGAGCAGCTGGTCCCAGTTCTCCTTAGGGAGTTGGCCTCCTTCCGGGCCACCTGCCCTATGGGTAGTTACTTCCTACCTGAGTAACTCTGACTAGGGACACAGGTGTCAGCCACTCTGAGAAACGCTATCACACGTGAGGAAGCCTGGCCATACCTCTTGCCCTTGAGCTGGGAACAAGCATTTTTAGGACCAGTTTGTGGCATCAATGTCACAGGGAAGAGTAGACTCATCCAAGAAGGGACAGTGGGCAGTGGGGTAGGGTACTGACTAAATGGGAACCTGAGAACCAGGGCTGCTTTAGGTGGGAGGGGCCCAAAGTGGAAAAGTTGTGTGTTCCAAGCCTCTTCGGAGGACCGGGAGATGGAGGGAGGTTACCTCAGTGGCATACAGAGACCTGGAGATCACTTCCGGAGCCATCCAGTAGGGCGTTCCCACCAGGGACTTCCTCTTAGGGACGTCTTTGCTGATCTGAGCACAGAATCCGAAGTCGGACAGTTTCACCTGGGGTTGGAGTAAGAGGGAAAGGGGGAGTGGTGAACCGAGAGGAGGCGCCATGCTGGAAGCATGGAAGTGGGGGGCGTGGGTGTGCCAGGGTGGGGAGGGTCCTACCCTGCCATCAAGGGTCAGCAGGATGGAGTCGCTCTTGATGTCCCGGTGTATGACACCCTGGGCATGCAGGTACGCCAGGGCCTGCAGCACGGCCTCACACACTGTGGCGATCTGCTCCTCATTCAGCCTGGACAGGGAGGGCAGGGCCACCATCAGAAGAGAATGTGAGCTTTGGCTGGGAGAGTAGGTGCCCCTGGTACCAGGCCCCACAGCTCCTGGGCAGTGTGTGTGGGAGCCCAGTTAGGACAGAGCCCTGGTGGACAGAGCCCACCTTGTCCTCCCACTCCCCGGAGGCCCGTGGGTCTATTAACCCAAACAGGGGGCACTCCCCCAAGTCTGCTGGCCCAAGGCTGCCTGATACTCCTGCCAGGGCAATGGGGGGGCAGCTAGCACTGGGGACCCACCCAGCCCTCCAGCTGCCCACCTGACTTGGGAGATGATGTCCGTGAGGGCCCCGCCCTGCAGGAACTCCATAAGCACCCACAGCTCCTCGCCCACCAGGTAGCTCTTGTACATCTCCACCACGTTGAAGTGCTGGTAGTCCCGCATGATCACCACCTGGGGGCAGGTGGGGATGCCTGAGTGCCGGGCAGACTCCACTGCCCTGCTCGCACCTGCCCCGCCTGGCTTGGTGCTCACTGCCCATCCCAGACGCCCACCGCCATCCACCCTCTCCTCCCACCTCATTAAAGAGCAGCTCCCTGCGCTGCTGCTTCCTGAGGTCCATCATCTTGACAGCCACCTGACGGCCCGAGTGCTTCTCCCGGGCGAGGCAGACAATGCCCGTGGAGCCCTCGCCGATCTTCACGTAGCTGTCCAGCAGCAGCCGGGGGTCGCCCTGGTCCACCACCATCCTGAGTGCAGCCTTGAACTGCTCGTGTGTCACGATGCCCGCGTCCTCACCAGCCAGGGCCCCCTTGGCTACCGTGGGGTCCTGGGGCAGGTACAGGTTGCTGGTGCTGATCTGGGCGTGCCGGGTGCGGGGGGAGCCAGCGGGGGAAGACCGGCCTGGAGGAGGGCCGGCGGCTGGGGCTGTGCGGAGGGACTTCTGGGGGCTGCTGGTATCTGAGGTGGTCAGAGGGCTGAAGGTCCCCATGGGCTGGTCTGAGGGCAAGGACTGGGCCTTGGACACCAGGCTTGTAGGGTTGTCTTTCTGTGGTGGTCGGAACGAGGAGTTGGGCTGCAGGAAAAAGGAAAGAGAAGAAAGGGGTTTGGCTGTGGGAATGTTTGGAGCAAACTTCTCAGAGGCGGGAGGCGGCTGCTAGGACCCTGGACATGGGCAGGGTTAGGCAGGGCATCAGACCAAACTGGGGAGGTGCCAGAGGCAAAGATTTTCAACCAGAGCAGAAAACCACAGTCCTGCTCAGGAAACCAGCCCCGCTGTTCCCAGGTGAGCAGACCAAGCGCGAGCTCTCGACATCCAGTCTGCCTGCCTGGGAAGACACAGCAAGGAGAGTCCCAGCGGTGTCCTTGCGCTGGGTGTTTCTTCCTGGGGGACAGAGAGCCAGACCCCAGGGAGGCCTCTGGGAGGCGGTCCTCCTTCTGCTGCGGGGCTACCTGGGGAGTCTGGGTCAGAGGCGGTGGCTCCCACGGCCCCCTCACCCACGGCCGTGCCGGCAGAAGCCCTGGTGCACTCCCCACAGAGGACCAGAGTCATGTTTCCCTCTGGGGGTTTGGGGTCCCCCTAGGCTGGTGATATGGTGCCAGAGAGATTTGGGATCAGGAGGGTAGGTCCAGCCAAACCAAACCCTTGGGGCCAGGGATCCCAGGGAGGTTTTCTAAGGGTTCCTCAGAGAAGCCCTTCCACTTGCTCCCAAGCACGAAACTCCTGCCTGAGGACCCCCTGCCTGAGGACCCCCCACAAGGAAGGAGAGGCCTGTGGAGAGGGAGGGAAGGTGGAGCTGAGTGCAAGCCGGCCCCCAGTGAGCCCTGCACAGGCCCTCCCCTGGAAGCCTGAGGCTCTTGCCTTCCCGGGCCCAAGCTCCCAGCTCCCCTGCCAGCCCTGCTGCAAACGAACCCATGTCGGGCTTCTCCCCGCGCAGCTGGCGGTGTGCCACGCGGCTATGGATTTTTAAAAGGAGCACAGGCAGAGGGCCCTACATAACCTAACGGGGGGCCTTCGGGGGCTGCAGAGAGGCCTCTTAGGAACTTCTCAGAACCCGTCACATAGTGGTGGTCTAGGTTCCCAGTGGCTGCTGGTCCTGACTCAGAGCTGAATCGACTTTGAAGAAATCGCAAGCAGTCAGCCTGGGCTGAGCTGCTTGCTCAGGAACCCAGGTCTGGGCCTCGGGCCCACTGGGCTCAGCCACAGCCTTTTCACGCTCTTCAGCACCCCTCCCAGGCTTCCGGGCCCCCATCCCCGCCACAGTCCCTGGCCTGTCTGGGCTCGAGCCGGCGCCCCTGCCTGCAGAGAGTTGAGAGCCCAGCACTGATGTGGCCTGGGACACGGGACACGGGACACGGGACACGGGGGTGGTGGGGCAGGGCCTGGTTCACCTTGTTGGCCCTGCTGCCTGTCTCCACAAAGTGGAAGCTTCTACTTAATGGCAACCACAGGAAAGGGCCAGATGAAACTTGCTAAACCACACCCAGAAAGGGAGAGGAGACATGAAAACAGAGCACTGTAGTGGTTCTGGAGGATTCTGGAGTTACAGTGTGACTGAGACCTCTTCTGGAGCAGGGAGCCATGCAGGCACCGTGGAGCTGAAGAAGCCTGGCTTTCCTTCCTGGGCCCTGGTGACAGCCGCTCTCCAGCCTGGGCCTGGGGCTGTCCTGTAAGTGCCCCACAGGCAGAGGCCATGTCAGTAATATTTAAAAAGTCATAAAGCCATTTATTGAGGGTTTAGCACTTTGACCAGGGCCTTAGATGCCTTATCTCATTGAACTTTCACAGCCCTGGGGTGTTTTATCATCCCTCGGGTACTAGTGATCACCTTTGTAGATGAGGAAACAGGGTCAGAGGAGTGAAGTGACTTGTCCCGAGTACTAAGTAGTAAGGGGCGAGGCCAGACGTCAGCCCAGGTCAGCCTGACCCCTGACCCTGATGCTACGGTCCTGTTGGTATCAGGTATCACCGGCGTATAATGCAGTACACGGTGCACAGTAGATACGTAACCAATGTTTGCTGATTACTGAGGTCCTCTGACTAGGCCTTTCTGCCTCAAAGTGGAACCACTTCTAAATCCCCCAGACTTATAACCATTTTACCTCTTTAGCCTCCTGCCTGCACTCGAGGAAGCCTTTGCTCTTTAGTCAGAGTGAGTGATCACAGGCCAAGCTGCCTGGGCCGAATCCAGGCGCCCGAGGGTCACAGGCTGTCCTGCAGCCGCTCCTGGCACAGCAGGGCACCGGCAGCCCGACCTCCCCGGGCACCAGGGCACTGCTGCAGCTACGGGAGCTGTGAGTGTCCAGAGCCAGCCCCTGGCACGTGCTGAGGTGCAGAGGGCTGCTCCTGCCTCGGTCTGGGGGTTCCTGGGGCTGTGAGGGAGGATGCTTCCCATCTGTGTGGTCATCTGCCTAAAGCAGTGGTTCTTATCCGGGGGTGACTTTGCCCCGTAAGGGACATTTGGCCATATCTGGAAGGATTTGTGGCTGTTCTCTCAGCGGGGTGCTGCTAGCATGTAATGGATAGAGATCGGGGACCCTACTAAATATCCTACAGCGCACAGGACAGTCCCGACAAGGGGTCATCTGAGCCGATGCGAGCGGTGCGGGTCGAGAAGCCCTGGCTAGCGGCTCAGAGGACGGCTCAGCCCTGCTTTCGAGCCTGGCTTCGGGCACTTACCTAGAAACATGTGCCCAAGGTGCCGAGGCGGAGAGCACTCTGCTGGGTTCGGACTGTGGTGTCTCCGAGCCCAGGACAACCAGCACCTCCCTCCACAGGCACAGGACCCCGCCCTGTCCCCCAGCAGCAGTGGCCCGTGGCAGGTCCCCAGTAGTGTGCAGGCATGGGCAGGCCGGCAGAGGCTGGGTGGACAGCCCTCGCCCTGCTGGGGTGCTGCCAGGGGCCCAGAAACATGCATGTCCATGCCCAGCGGGGCTGCCATACCCTCTCTCAGACTCCCGAAGCACTCCTGAGGGACTCCCAGGGGGCCGGGGGCAATCGAGTCCCCATTCCCACCTCCCTGGCAGTGTGGACCACGCCGCTCCCACCGGGGTTTTCTGCGGAATGTCTCCCCAGGGCCGCAGCCTTCCAGACCCCTCAGCTCACGGACACGATCTTTACAGGGACAGATACATCAAGCCACATCTCATTTGTCTGTCCCCCAGGTCCCCACCCCACAGGGGACATCAGCCCCTGCCCTCTGTCCCCGTGGGGACTGGAGTGCACAAAGCCCAGAGCCCTCCCTGGGTGCTTTGAGCTGGCGGTGACTTAGAAAGGTTGAGGGTCCAGGCCGCTCGCCAAACTCCCCACCCACACTCGGCTGGACTAGACTGGCTCTGTCACTGAGAGGGGAGAACCCGGCTTGTCCTCCAGGGAGGGGAGCCTCCGTCACTGAGCCACCTAGTGTCAGGTCTGACTTAGAAGCCTCACACCGCGGCCTGAGTGCACGGCTGCCTGCCCCGCAGGAGGGCGCTAGAGGACAAGTGTCAGCCCGGACAGCAGCCTGCCTGAGCGGAGGCCCTCTGGTGCCTCCTTCCCTGCCTCACCTGCGACGCCTGGGGCTGTCTCACCCTCTGAGTCGGTCTTCATCTACCAAAGGATGCTACGCTCACCAGACAGGATGCCGTCGGGCATGTAAGAAGCAAAACTGTTCTCTGCCTGCCCAGAAATGTCACCGTTCGGGCCCCCTTCACTGTTTCCTTTCTTATAGGAAAAATAGGTGCGTCTGAGACCGTCAGCAGGGGCCAAAGTCGGTTCTCTTGCGACCTCCCGACCCAGACAAATTCAGCCCTCTAGCCTTCCATATGGCACACAAACCTGCAATAAATCCTTACAAAAATGTTACTGAAAACCACAACCACTAAAAAAGGGGAAGGCCGGCAGGCGGGAAACCCACTAGGGGAGGGTGGCGAGGGCTTCAGGGAGCAGTGAGGGGAGCCCTGGGGTGAGTGAGGCATAGAGGCGGACAGGAGGTCTGAGCGGAGGGAGGCAGGGGACCCCTTGACCTGCCCAGTGCAGGAGGCCCCATCTCTGCTGGGGCCTGGGTCGGGGTTGCTGGGCACCAGGGGTGAGGGGAAGGTCAGGCTTTTGTGGTTAAAAATGTTGCTCTTACAGAGGGCGTCTGCCAACCCACCCCCGAGGGCGGGAGCATAGGCCGGGAGTACCACAAGCCCCTCCGACGCCCTCCAGAAGATGACCTGGCTTCCCTGGCTTCCAACCCGGCTCACACGCTCAGCCTTTGGAAGACGAGGGCTCAGATGGTCAGGGTAGAATCCTCAGTCGAGGCTGAACTGTTTCTTGATTATTTTGTTCCCTCACACTGTCCCTAACCCACACCTGTAAATGAGGAGGACCAGGCAGGGCCCAGGTTCCCCAGCCCTGCTGCACGTGGCCCTGGAAGGCAGCCCCCACCTACCTTGCTCTGTGGAGGAGGGCCTGGCTTGCTGCCGCTCGGAGGGGCTGTGGCAGGAGTGGACAGGAACATGCTCCGGAACAGCTTGTGCTTCAGGCTGCTCTCCTGGGTCTTAGGGCTGGGGCTGCCCTCTCCCCCCGGCCTGCCCGCAGCTGAGCCCACCAGGCACGACTGTGGCCTGGCCTCCTCAGAGCCATGCCTGGCAGCCTTGGTCCCCCGCCTCCCGCTGGCTGCAGGGGGTGAGGCGCCTGGTGGGGAGCTCTGCAGGCAGGCGCCCAGCTGCAGGCAGCGCTGTGTGGCACCCTGGAACTCGGCGGGGCCCAGGGACTGTGCCTTGGTGGCCAGCCCATTGGGTGGGACCCGTCGGCTCTGTGGTTCAGGCCACGGCATCTGCTGGTGGCCTGCCGGTGTGCCCCCATTGCAGCTGAGGTAGAGGCTGTGGGGGTCAGTGTGCTCAGACTGGGGGCTCTGCAGGTACATGTCCGGGTTGGCAGCCCAGTGCTCCTCCCCCAGCAGCCCCAGGGACTGTGCCCGCCTTCGGCTGGTGGGGCTGCGCCCACGCAGGGTGTTGGAACTGATGAGTGACAACTTCTGGATGTCATTGAGCAGCCCCGAGATGTAGCCGTCCATGGGCACAGAGCTGCCCCGAACCACAGTCTGCAGGAGAGAGAAGAGCATGCATGAGTGGTCTGTTCACGGCAGGGAGGCTCGGCTGGGACCAGGCCAGACAGCCTGGGGGGCCTTGAGGAGGAACACCTGCGGACCTTGCCTGCTGCGTCATCCATCCATTTCTTGACTCACACAGCTAAACCCCCAGCCCCACAGGGGCTGAGGGTCCAAATAGTAAGTGAGCACCCTTAACACTACAAGATGCCTGGGCAGCCTGCATTTTATTTGGATATTTGCAACCCTACCACCCTGTGGAGGACTCCCCAGGCTCCTCCTCCCTGGTCACCTGGGGAGAGAAGGAGAGGCTAATTAGCAGGGAGTGAAAACAGCAGCTAATTGATAGCTGGTAATTAGGTGGTTCCTCTAGGTGCCTTTGTGGTTTGGCCAGGCACAGGCATCTGTGGCACAAGAGAGGCTGAACGTGGCCTCGCCCACCTACCTTCATGGGCTGGAGCTGCACCCGTGTAATCCGGGAAGGGTCCACCACGGGCTTGGGGCGCCGAAGTGTGTCCAGGATGTTCTGCCATTGCGGGGGGAGGCCCACGAACTTGCCTTCTTTAGGATCAAAGGAGGTGTGGACGCGGTGCTGGAAGTTCTGAGGGGCTGAAATCTCAGGGCGTTTCTTCTTTTTCTTGCGGAACATGGTGCCTGCATGGGGAGGGTCAGGCTGAGCTCCAGCGGGGGCTCCACGGGAGCCGAGCCAGGGAGCAGGGGTGGCGATAGGGGTCTCGGGGCACCAGGCTCTGGGCTCTCTACCCTCAAGCACATCTCCCCGGTCTGGGCCCAGGGCTTCCCCTCACCTCTCATGCCTACTTCCTCAGGAAAATGGCTAGCTCCCAGCAGAGGGGTCCCGGAAACAACAAAAGCTCCATATATCATCCAAAACAGACTGAAGAAAACAGGTGTCTGTCTTCTCGTCTGTGCCAAAGTCCCCTATGGAGCAGGCAGACTCCGGGGGGGTGTTCTCATGAGATCCAAAGCCCAGGAAAGATATCATCCCCCGTCAAAGAATTAAAACGGGGCAAAGAGGGAGGAAAGCCAGCAGACACATTTTATGAAGTGAGCATGACCTTGATTCTTCAACCGGATAAGAAGAGTCCAAGAAACAGGAAAATGTGGACCCATCTCACTTATGAACATAAATGTGAAAATCCTAAACAAAACCAGCCAGTTGATCCAACAGTATGTGAAAGTTTCATTCGTTTGTTTTTTGTTTTATCACAATCAACTCCAGTTTGTCCCAGGATGGTTCAACAACAGAAAACCTGTTAACGTGATACACAACATTCATAAAAAGCCAACCCGTCGAGTCATAGACGTGTTGCCCAGTCTGGGGCCCTTGTGTTACTGCGCTCGGCCCTAATTCTGGAAAGCCCTTAGGGTGGCTGTCTCGGGGGGAAAGCTCTCCAGGGCAGAGAGAGCCCACTTCCCTTTGGGCCTATTTCTCTGGGTCTCAGAACTCTGTACACAATATCACTAGCTATCAAACCTCCCACCCTCTCTCTCTCTCTTTTTTTTATCCTCACCTGAGGACATTTCTCCATTTTTTGTTCAGATAGAGTGGGAGAGAGAGAGAGGAAGAAAGAGAGAGAGAGAAACATCGACATGAAAGGGACACATCTAATGGTTGCCACTCGCACAACCCAACCAGGGCCAGTGACAAACTGCAACCGAGGCACGTGCCCTTAGCGGGAACCGAACCCAGGTCTCTCTCGACCGCAGGCCAATGCTCTAACCGCTGAGCAAAACTGGCCAGGGCCTTCCACCCTCTCTTGGCTGACTTGGGGTTTGCCTGAGGCCCTGGTGCGCTCCCTCAACAGCTCAGAGCAACGGCGTGCGGATTTGGGAGAGAGAGGCTGGCAGTCTGGGAGGTAGGGATTCTTCCCAAGTGCAGCTCTAGCCTCATCTTCAGGAATTCCCTGCCTGGGACCACATGTGATGGAAGTCAGGGCTGTAGGTGCCCACTTGAGTGCCTTTATGTCTGAAAGGCTCAAAGCAGCTCATTGGGTTTAAAAAAATTTTCTTTATTGTGGCAAAACACACTCCATGGGTTCTTATGTTACCTGGAAGGGTCACGTCTAGGGGGTGGGGTGTGAATTTATTTCTTGAATGCTTGGGTCATTCATGTATCCATAGGTCTGGGGTATCTTTGGACACTGGGCATTCTCTTTTGGCTCCTGCTCTGGAAACAGCCGTTTCCTGCTCACTTGAGCAGGTTCCGGAGCAGGACACAGATCTGGGAGGCAGGAGGCGTCCACTCGGAACGACTGCAGGCTCAAACAGCCACAGCTTCCCGACTGGACTTCACCAAGTGCGAATCAATCTGAATCCATGTCATACCTCCTGGAATGTCAGCTGCTTTTTGGGACCCTGAGGTTCAGGAGTCCACAAACACCCCCTATGGGCAAAGCCCCCTATGTAGGACCCCCAAGGATGAGGACTTTGGAGTGACATATACCTGAGTTGTAGGTGAGCTGTAGGGAGTCTCCCACTGGTCTGGGGAGACTTTGAACAAGAGACCTAAACGACTTGAGGCTCAGTGTTCTTAATCTATAAAATGGGGTTAATAAAATGTATCTCACATGGTTTGGGGCGTATTCGGTGAGCAGATTCCCTGTAAATGGGGGCTGTTTCCCTTGCAGTGTTACTTCTCTGTATCGCTGTCTCTAAGCTCAGGGCCCTACAAATATGAAATGAGAGCAGACACTAGTCTGGGAGTGATTCCAAACCCTGACCTTAGATTCACTTGCCAAGTCAGGGCCAGGCCTGACTTCTGGGACCTCAGACCCTCAACAACTCTCCACTACACTGACTCTTGGTGGTTTGGTAAAACCTGACCCCCTCTCTCTCTTAGCCTTTGGCCACAGAAGAGTCTTCATCCTTCAGTCTGTCCTCCTAGTGTCTGAAATAGACTCTATCCCAGGCTTAGCTTAGCTGATGGTTTCATCCTGTTCCCCCCTCTGCTAATGCCTCTGGAGACGCAGGACACACCCTAGAGTAAAAGAAGAGCTGGCTAAGGCCCTGGCCGGGCAGCTCAGTTGGTTGGAGTGTCATCCCGATACACCAAGCTTGTGGGTTTGATCTCCCGTGAGGGAACATACAAGAATCAACCAATGAATGCATAAGTAAGTGAAATAACAAATTGATGTTTTTCCTCTCTCTCTCCCTTCCTCTATCTCTAGAAATCAATAATAATAAAAAGAAAAAAAATAGAAGAGCTGGCTAATACTTCTTCCTACCCCCCAAGAACATCCCTTTCCCCAGCTCCCTTGCCCAGCCCAAGGGCCCAGCTTTTGCAGGGGACAGCATCTTTAGCAAATCATCTAAATGACTCTAGGATCCCTGAGGCTACCACAATAGTGATTCAAGAACACTCTTCACAGAGGCAGAAAGGAAGTTCTGAGGTAAAGAAAGACTGGCTGGTCTGGCTGGTGTGGTTCAGTGGTTGAGCATGGACCCATGCACCAAGAGGTCGCCGGTTTGATTCCTGGTCAGGGCACATGCCCAGGTTGTGGGCCACATTCCCAGCGGGGGGCATGCAGGAGGTGGCTAGTCAATGTTCTCTCTCATCGATGTTTTCATCTTTCTCTCTCCCTTTCCCTTTCTCTCTCTCTAAAATCAATAAAAAATTTTTAATACAGACAGACTGGATGGTGCAAAGTCCTAGGGTCTGGTATGTGGTGAGGGTGGGAGCCGGCCAAAGCGATGAGTGGGCTCAGGCTCGGGAGGGATGAGCAGAGAGTTAGAAGCCAGAGCCAGTCACTTAGCTAGTGGGAAATCCACACCTGCAGGGAGGCTGCCAAGACTCTTCTAAACTGTGGTGACGCTAACACTGCCTAGGACAATATAATTATACATAGAAAATCCAGGAAAATCTATTAACATACAAACTATTGGGATTAGGTAAGTGAATGTAGAAGGTCTCTGATTTAAGGGCAATAATAAAACATCAACTGTATTTCTATATACCAGCAACAAATAGAAAATGAAATTTAAAAAAAGATTCTATAGTATCATGGGAAATAGAAATGTGGTCTTTGTCCCTGCTCCTGGCACACAGCTCCTGAAACCCTCGGAATCCCTAGAGTGACAAGAATGTTGGACCTTCCGGCCTCCCCTGCCACCACCTCTGGGGAGGGGAGAGGGGCTGGAGATTGAGTTAGTCACCAGCAGTCAATGACTTAATCAATCAGCCTACGTAATGAGCTGCCATAAAAACCCCCGCATGACAGTGTCCGGGGAGCCCCTGAGCTGGCGGACACATCACGGTGCTGAAAGGGTGAGGTGTCTGGACGGGTACAGAAGCTCCATGCTCCTGACCACCTGCCTCACCCTATGCATGTCTTTCATCTGGCTGTTCCTGGGCTTTATAATGAGCTGGCAAAAGTAAGGAAAGTGCCTTCCTGAGTTCCATGAGCCGTTCTAACAAACGACTGCACCTAGAAGGGAGTTACGGGAACCCTTGTTAAAGCTAGGGTCCGGGCGGTGGCGCGTGCCTGCAGTCCCAGCTACCGGGAGGCTGAGGCTGGAGGATCGCTTGAGCCCAGGAGTTCTGGGCTGCAGTGTGCTATGCGGATCAGGTGTCCGCACTAAGTTCGGCATCAAGATGGTGACCTCCCGGGAGCGGGGGGACCACCAGGTTGCCTAAGGAGGGGTGAACCGGCCCAGGTCGGAAGCCAGGTGGACAGCAGTCCAGGGCGCCTGGGACTTGCAACTGGCATCTGAAATAGGGGCAGCTCGGGAGACTGAGCCCGCAGGCTGTGTGTGCACTCCAGGTGGTTGGGGTCAGAACCGAATTGGACTGAATTGCTGAACACCCAGTTAGTATCCAAGCTGGAGAAATGGTCTCAGGAAGAAAAAACCCTCTCATTTGATGTCAGAAGTGTTATCAGGAGAAAAAAACCCCTCAGATACCATTTACCATAAAAAATATCAAATACCTAGGAATACATCTAATCAGAGATGTGCAAGTTTTCTACGTTGAGAAGTATAAAATAATTAAAGATATTAAAGAATGTTCATAAATCGGAAGACTCGATATTGTAAAGATGGTAATTATTCCCAATTAACCTACAGTTTTATTTCAATCTCAATCAAAATCCCAGTTCATTTCTTTTGGTGAATTGACAAATTGATTCTGAAATGTACAGAAAAACATAAAGAACCAGGAATTGCCAAGAAAATATTTTTAAATTTGTTGTTGTTAATCCTCAACCAAAGATATTTTTTCCACTGATTTTTAGAGAGACTGGCAGGGAACAGAGAGAGAAACATCAATGTGAAAGACACACATCGATTGGTTTCCTCCTGCACATGCCTGATCAGGACCATGGATCGAACCTGCAACCCAGGTATGTGCCCTTGATCCAGAATCAAACCCATAACCCTTTGGTACACAGGCTGATGCTCTAACTACTGAGCCACACGGGCCAGGGCTCTTTTTAAAAATTGATTTTAGGGACAGAGAGAAAAATACTGATGTGAGAGAGAAACATGGATTGGCTGCCTCCCACATGCACCCGACTAGAGACTGAACCTGAAACCTGGGCATGTGCCCTGACTGGAACTCAAACCCACCACCTTTTGGTGTACAGGATGATGCTCCAACCAACCGAGCCACACCAGCCAGAGCAAAGACAGTCTTGAAT